TGACTCTTTGTTATTCCCAGCTCACTTCAAACCCACTACTGGATGTTAGCTTTATTTGGCAAAACTGTTGGTGAAGTAGAGCAGGCTGTTTACTCTATTTTTAGGGTGCATTCCAGCTTTTTAATGGGGCAAAAGATGTTATTTTGGTACAAGGTTTGTTTATTTTTCTTGGATCAGAACCTAATGAGATGATCATTAGAAGCGGGTGCTGGCGTCTGTTGTGATCCCACAATGCCCCACCTATTCTCTTTTGCATTCCTTGATGATAAATGTGCTCTGATGATGATGATGATGGCGGTTGCCCTACAAAACTCTGCTCTGCATGTCAGTTAGCAATGTGCTTGTGTGAGTGTGTTCATGTCTACACACTTTTGTTTGTTTCATGTTCTGGCGCAACTTATCTCCGTCTCTGTCTCAGCCTTCCTTTCACTCACTCAGAGAGTATTTAACTACTGTTTTCCACCAATTCACCCCTCAGGCAGCTTTTCCTTTTTGGAAGAAACCTGCCGCTACCGACAAGGACACAGAGAAATCTTTGTCTAAATAAACTGTCAGTCAGTCTTCTCTGCATGCCAGCTATACCTTGAAAAATAATCACTTTAATTTCAAGTTCTGGCTTCGTGACTCCTCAGGCACTTGTCTTTTCACACTTACATCAGCCAACAAATTAAAACAAGAGCTTTTTTTTATGGCCCAACAAGCTGCATAAAATCAAGAACATCAATCCAGGCCACTCTATTTGGCTGTTTCTTTCGATTTTGTTTGGGGGATTTTTGTGGTTTCTGTAAAATGAGCTTTGAATGTGGTTAACATCTCCAGTAAGTAGATGTAACAAAGACCAAGTTATTGTTTAATTGTCATCCCAGCAAAACAAAGACATATTTGTTGTAACTGGAAGGGTTTAGAAGAGCACAAATATGAGAAAATATCAAAGAAAGGGCTTGGTTGGTTCTCTAGGCTTTTTGTTGGTGCAGTTTCTATTTAAACATATTGAAGTTACATGACTGTATTTATTGATTACAAACAATCATGTTTATACTCTCTAAAGAAAGACTGATAAAAAGTGTGATCTCATGGTGACAGGCAGTGAAAGATGAGTCTACATAGAGCAGAAACTAGAAGAGGATCTGACCCTAAAACTAAACTTGTGGTACAGAAGAAAAACGTCAAACATGGTAAAAATATGAAAGCAGACTGACGGACTGAATTCACTAACCTATGACTCAAAATTTTCTTAAATATGTCATTTTAAAGCCAGATGATATGTATTTTCATGTTGCACATGATAATAGCCTGAATGGAAATGGTCAATAATTGAAAAAAAAAAAAAAAGAGTCATGATCCATCTCCTCGAGCTGCAAAAAGTGAAGCCAAAATACAGTTCAATAATGTGGCGTGACGTATTCTGGCAAATCATGTGCAGCGGCAATCTCGCTTGCGAGGCTGTGGTCGATGTTACGTCTTTTACTCACTACAGCACACATTAAACTTACCATTGAAAAGGACCCTTCAAAGACCCTTCAAATTAGCGATTATATCGTTAGTCAAACTTCGCCATATTTCTATTTTTGAAATAATTGAACTTCGAGGCAAACTGTGAAGCTGTGTGCAAAAAGGGACACCAGCGCTTATACTGTTCAAAGGAAACTGTCATCTTTCAGACCTTGTTTTATCCGGCTTTTATTGAAACTGTTTTTCCCTTTTGTCTTGTGTCTTGGTTTGGGAACTTGTCTCTTAAAAACAAAAATTGCCTAAACCAAATAGTGAAATGGGCGAGCAGGCTGATTGGAGAGGCCCAGCTCTACCCACCATCCCCGTATACTAAACATTTCCAGAGGATGGCTGGCTCCATCTTAAAAGATGGATCCCACCCTCTCAATGCTGAGTTTCAGCTGCTCCCATCAGGCAGGAAGCTCAAGGTACCAGCCTGTAAAACTAAGCGGCACAAAAATAAATTTATTCCGTCAGCCATCGGGCGCATTAACACGGGAAAGAAACCTTGAGAGCTGTTGGGTTTTATTTGGTTTTATTTGCTCTTATTTGGTTTTATTTGGTGTGCTGTTTGTTCATCTACTGTCATACATGTGGTTCACTGCAAACAAAATCCGCCTGTGGGTACAATGACAGTAAACTTTGACCCTTAACTCTAGATAATGTAATAATACAAATAGCCAAATTTCCCCTATCCCAGTGCAAATCTCGCTCCTATAACTATTAGGTTTCTTGAGGACATGACATTCTACAAAATAATTCAATCAACTTTAGACCAAAACATGGAAACATCCACAAGAAAAAAGTCCATGATGGGTTTAATATTTTGTAAACATGGTGATAAAACATATTTTACTACCATGTCCCTCAACAAAACCTTCACCAAGTGATATTGTTATTGGCACGTGCCTGCATTCACACCTTTGTCTTTGTTTTTGGACAGGATGCGTCTGTGGAGTGAGTTTTGCCCTGCCCGCATGCAGAAAGTTGTATTCGTTGGAACAAGAAGAAGTATTTTGATTCTTCCAGCGTCCCACTGACCTCAATTCCTGCCGTTTAGATATGATCTCCTCCCAAACTAAATGGTCCTCTGGACAGATATTCATCTTTGATGCCTCATCAGACTAAAGGAAGAAAACAGAAAAGAAAACAGGGAGAGTGGAGTCCATCAATATCCCCCCTGCTGATTTACATTCCAGCTTGAATGCCTTTTCAAACACATCCCTATGATCGAGTCTAAAAAGGAAATCAAGCAAAACTGAAAGTATCCTTCAGCTTAGACATCTCAACGCTTTTAAAGACCCATTTAGTGATTCACTTAATAAAAAGATTAGCCTGAATCATTTTTTTGTCGTTTTTATTGCTTTGTTTTTCTTCGCAGACAAAATATGGTCAGCAAAGTAACCATGTTCGCTTTATTGCTGTCTTCTAAATCTGTCAGCGTGATACGTAAAAGTGTGGGAAAAAAGGAGCCGGGAAGGAGGAGATGTATCGAGAAGTTAGAGTGAAGATGCGGGAAGGCGGAGGACAAATCACTCTTGGCTTACATTTGTCCGAGCTTAACTAAGCATTGCGGAAATGACCACAAACTTACATACTTTGTACGAGGGAGAAACATGACTTCAGCACTGCTGTGTTTTGAGGTATACCACACACTGACAGACCTGAAGTCTGTGTCCTTAAAAGGCCCGTGATCTTACTATCATTTTTCATATTGCATAACATGATCACAGGATGGTTAAAAGATCATACAGTTCAATGATCTCATTTGGGTAAGAGTTGATTTTTTTGAGGGGAGGCAGCCTTTGAGAAAGCTTGTGCAGGAGTACAGGCAGATAGAGTTTTAAAAGGAGCTGGTGTGGAAGAATTAAAGCATGAATTAGATACTAACGCAGATTTCAGACATGCACTCTCGGAAGTTTCTAGAAATGTTCTGACCCAGAAAATTAACACCCTCGTAGGGCAAAGTCGGACTAGGGCAACTTATCGGAGTTCACTGGATGATTCTGCACTGTAAACGTTATGTGACAGATGGTGTTGGTGCAGTGAAAAACACCTTACGCCTGGACTTTCTGCAAACTCTTTTTTTTTTTAGGTTGTAACACCTGTGTCAGTATTTTTAGAGAGGATGGAGGAGGGGTTGCAAGGCACACATTATTAGGTCAGGCATCATGAAGCTGCACATAAGTTTCAAGCTTATTAATCTTTATGACATCTTTGCAACAATGCGATATTTTTGTTGCTGAATACTGTCATTTTCTTTCAAGCCAATCAGAAAATCACATGATGAAAAAAAAAGAAAAACCCTCTCAAAGCAGCATATGATCTCAGGAAAGAGTGAGTTACAAAACAACCACAGCAAGCGGTAGATGAAAGATATACGGCTGTTCACCATCTTTGGCAGATTTGTGTGTATAGTGAGCATCTCTTTCGGAACAGCAGGGGGGCGGTTGAGACCTGCAGGCAGAGTGATGAAATATTTGCAGAGAAAAACAGAGCACATCCTGTCTGATGAGGGCAGTTTTGCACATCCGGCTTCCTCAGTGACAGAACAGCCAGACCAGGTTGAACATGAAACTTAGAGAACTGCAACACGGAGGCCGAGCAGAGAGTCATCCATCATTCTCACTCAGCTGTGTGGTCTTGTTAAGTAAACGTTGGACTGAGGAAACACCCAGTGAAAGTTGTTGGTGGGACTGGCAGCCATGCGTGTCAGGGGCTGGCAGTGGAGCAGTGAGTCTTCACGGCCCATCAGGAGGTCCAAAACGTGACCCAGATCTACTGATTTACCTCTAATTATTTTGTGTCTTTTCTTTTTACAGCTTTTCCTTTTTGCTGGAATTGTTCTGTATGTCTGTTCTTCTCCTAATCCATCTCATTCTTTTCTATACAATATCTTGAGTGAATTAGTTCAACCTGGGTCAAAATGTGCACCCAGTCTCAAAGATTAATCAAGTTGAATTTGGTATTTGAAATTTTGAGTCACGGTGATCTCTCAAACCAAAACACAACTCAAAAAATTATTCGTCACATGTCATTTTCACATTTTTGGAGGTTTAAAGAAATCAACAAAATAAAGCAGAGTGGAGTTTGTCTCTCTGTGTGCTTTCCAAGGGAGTTAAACCCCTTATGCACAATATTTTAGCTTTTATCACTCTTTACTGTATTTCTTTGGATTTTTTTGAGAGGTGTGACTTCAGATTTGGTGTAAATCTTCATTTGGACTTAGGTCGAACTTTTAAAACTTTGGAAAAAGGATAAGGCCGCTGTGATCTCATGTTCACTTCATTCCTGTAAATGTCTCAGCAATGTCAGATATCACAGTCCCAGATATCTCAGCAATGTCTGGAAGAGGTGAGGTAAGTCTAGTTGGATTTTTTCAATCTTATCTATTGGATGGACTGACACTATCAGAAGGAGTTAGTCACATATTCACTCCTTGTGTAGCTGTTTACCGTTTCCTCCACCATGCAGCAGTTTAGCAGCTATCCTTTGGGAAACTCCTGAATGTAAACTACTTTGAATGATGAGCAGAGGTGTACGATCACACAGCAGTTACTCTGGTGTTTGACAACTGTATGCAAATCTTTACAGCTTTACCCCAGCTGTGCCTGCCGTTGAGTTCGCTGATCATGCATGACCAAAAAAAAAATCTGTTTTGCTTTACAGACCTGCAGTTATCTCACATTGCTGCGAATTAGTCACTTGGCTGCCCATCATTTTGGAGGGAATATAAAATAATGAATAAGAAACTACAATAATCCTTTGACTTATCAACCACACGACTATGTGCAAATTTCAATAAAAATGCACTTCAATGCTTTATATCGTGGTTTGGGGGCATAACAAAGTCATATTGTGCAACTAGACACTGAGGTTGTTTATTTTTTTTTATTTTTTATTTTTTTACATGGACTGAAATTTGTTTTAAGGTTGTCAATCAAGACCATAGGGGACAAGACTGAAAACTTGTAAATTTCCATTTTGAATGCCTAAGACTGTTGTGAGATGGTAGGTGTTAGCCAAGCAGCTGAAGAAACAACTTTTTTTTTTTACATTTCTGCTTAAAATAGTCACAAAAAATGAAACATTTGACCATCAAAACCAGCAGGATGAAATTTCTTGTCAAAAGACACAATTTTATTGTTTAAAGGACAACATAAGTGAAGACTACTTCATCCGGGAGCGCTCAAATCGACCCTAACTGCAAGTTCTTTATGGGAGCTTTAAAAGCAGGAGCTGTGACATCATGATTGACAGCTCTATTGACAAATAAGGGATACAAATTTGTGTCACTGAATCTAACCCTCCTCTTGTGTTAGGGTCTGCACCGACCCTTTTTTTAATTTAAATGCTTAAAAGAACCACTTTAATCAGCTTTTTTGCATCAAGACTTTTTTTATCTTTGTCAGGAACCTCTATTTTAACGAAATAAAAAAAACAAAATCAATTGACTGAATTATAAAATGCTCTTATTAAAATTATGGCACTTGTCGTGTTAGGGTCACTGTTGACCCGGTTAGATCAGTATCTGATAATCAGAGCAAAAACTGAAATCATATGTGCACAGGCACCACACTGACAGTCAGATCCTCTTCCAATCATGTGAGATTTAGGAAATTCTTATTTTGTCATGTTTTTCCCTGCACAAAAAACAATGTCGGGCATGTCCAGACATGTGAGATTAATTCAGTATAGATGTCTGTGTGAGGGGTAAACTGACAAAAAAGGCCCAGAGCCCCACTACAAAAACTATTACAAACAATATTTTAATGGATAATGACGCCTAACAAGGCCAAATTGTATGATAGAGAAATGTTTTTAGTGTGATTTACAGCTGATTTGAGACACGGGTCAAAACCGACCCTTAACATGGTGGGTGCGTAGTAAAAGCTAACACAGGAGGAAGGTTAAGCAAACAGTGTTTCTTTTGTGCTTCTGTAGTTGTTATTTGATATTTATGCCTTGACTGATGATGGACTTTTAAGTTAATTCAAATGAGTCACGCAGCACATTTGATTCATTAATGGAATCCTGCTTGCAGTGACCCTGATTTTATCACGGCCACATTTGCTAAATATCGGTGTTGAAATACTGTCCCACACAAGTGGCAATCACATCAGAAGATGTTATCACCGAGAGCCCCTTTCACAGTCAAGCCGTATCAATTGAATTTGCTAAAGTGTTGAAACATCTCAGATGCTTGCAGGCGAAATCCCTCAACAGCTGTGACTTGTATGAACGGGTGGGATGAAACTCCAGGAAAGAGAGTTTGAGTTCAGGAAAAGGTGGAGCGAGATGAAAATGATAAGAAGATGCATTTTAAACACCAGAAGAGGGTTTCTTCTCAAGAACCTCAGTGAATCACGTTTTTTTTCTAGTCTATCATCCATCAATTTTATCTGGAAACATTCTTGCTTCTTAAGCAACATGGAGAGGCTGAATAGCTTATTACCCTGATATTATCCTTCCATTGAACTCAATAATGCCTTTTTATGGGAAGTGAAGGAATCAGACTTGTTTTGCAGGTTTTCTGTGGTAGAAAAAAGTGTATTTATTGTGTTCAGGCAGCATTTTTTGGACTTATCAATACTGATATCCCCTTAAGAAGTAAAGTCATGAAGTTCTTAGACGCCATTTCCCTGAATATCTGTCTGTTTAGACGTGATAGGAATTGCATATCTTAGATTTATATGACCCAGATAGTACTGCATAGATGAGCAGATATAAAGCTAAATTGAAAGACAGCCTCACGTGAGTGTTGACATACTTCTTTTTTCTTGTGAAAACCACATGCTTGTGAAAAAAAAAAAACCCTTCTGAGCATTGCATGCCAGTCGTGTTGATTTCAGATGCGGTCTTGTGAAAGTGGCACACAGGTCAGAGTTGATAACCAGGAAGTTACCAAAATATAAATTACAGGCAGCAAATCAAGACATTTCTCTGTGGTTTTATTCTCAGATAAACATGAGGCATCAAGCCTAAAAATAAACTGTATCCCTTTAAAGTTAAAACATGGGTGGTACACTTGTTCTCAGGCCTTAAACTCTCCCTCTGATACATCTGCAGCGCATGTTATACAGCTCAATACATGACTCAAGCTGGTGTCTATAAAAACCCATATTCTAGCCTCTGTCTCTATCTATTGAACGCCTAAATTTCAAAAAATCTAAAGACACCTAATGCACAACAAGTCATTTTTACAGCTTGGTGATATTTCTGTACTGACGTCAAATAGAGACAAATGTACATTTACAGAGAAATGTTGAATAAAGAGCCTTGAAAGTTGTTTTTTAAATTGTCTGTGATGAAAGGATGGATGTAGTACAGCAGGCAACCGGTTGCTCAAATGTGATTTGCATCGCGGTGACCACAGACTTAGGCTCACATTTATCTTCACATAAGATCAATGCTGAAGTCAAAACAGCGCTTTTGGGTGCAGGAACAAAGATCAGAGTCCAATTTGGCTGTTGCAATGTCTTCACACTTTGGGCAAACATTTGAATCATAAACTTTGTAAAACATGGACTAAGTCTCACTGACATCGCCTCCTGGTTTCTGAGTGGTTGTCATATTGGAGATGCTGACTCAATCTGACTTCTAGAGAAACCAGAAACAGATGGAGTTTAGGGAAGTCTTTTCTAAGTAAAACAGCAAAATGATTCACCCCCAATACAATATAAACAAGTTAAGTTAAAACTAATGTAACTTAAATAACTTATATATAATAAATCAAAGTTGTGAGTGTGTAAACTTTAGCTGCAAAAACACCAGAGGTTGATGCTTTAAATTCTTAATGTTGAAATGTAATTTTAGTGTAAGAGGAGACTCTCTGGTGTTACTTAAAAAAAAGTCTTCATTGCATCATGTTGTTGCAGATCGTGTTAAAAATCTGCTGAGCCACTGTTCCTTGTTTCCGTGGGAGAGCAGTCCGAGCAGGCAGCACTTTGACTGACCCTGTCTGGACCACATCAGTGATTATACATGATCTGTTGTCTTGTCCTGACCGAGGACTGGATACAAACTTTCCCAGAGAGAGCAGTGACATTTGACAGTTCTCTTATTCGGCCAGGGGGCGAGTATGCGTGGTAATGGTCTTGGTTTCCATTGATTCACTTGCACCACTGCCTTGCTTTGTGAAAATGTGTATAGGATTGTCACTGGAATTATAATGCAGTGAGTGCTTTAGTCCATCTAAACAACAGTTTCAAGCTTTTCAAAGCCCTCTGCCATTTGTTATTACCCTGGATAATAAATAATGAGACAGCTGTAAAACACCACATCTTTGAAACACTGTCTTTCATCCTGGGCAATGTGTGTTATGTACACTCAAACATAATAAACAAACATAACATTTAAATGTGTTTTATTAAAACAAAGCCTTGAAATCCTCAAGGATCCATGAGCTGACAAGGATATATTTAAAGACTTATTTTTCTATTTTTTCAAATTGTTTATATTTGAGGTTTTTGTATCTTTAATTTTTTTCTAAATCTCTTTTAATGTTTTAGTTACACATATTTAACAACTTATTTTTCTATCATTTACCATTATTTACATTAGAGGTTTTTGTCTCTGAATTGTTTAAATCTCTTTTGATGTTTTAGTTATGAATATTTAACAATTTATTTTACTTATTTTACTTTACTTTTATTTTATTTTACTGCTATTGGTGTGCATAAGTCTCTATGTATCCCATTTTTTGTTTGTCTTTTTTCATTTCTATTTTTATTTTCTGTTATTTATTTTATTAGTATTCCTTAACTGTTTTGTTATCAATCACTGTGAAGCGCTTTGACTTGCATCTGACTTGAATGAAAAGTGCTATACAAATAAAGCTTGATTGATTAAAAAAGAAAAGAAAAAAAAAACCATTAACTAGAAAACACATTTTTGGATGAATGAATGATAGAAGTATTTGATAATTTTTTTGGATATACAAGTAGTTACTGCTTAATGGGTCGGATGGATGACATATGTTTGCTAAGGTTACATTTTGAATTACTGATGCAGAAATCAATGTTTTGCTTTTAACTCTGTGAAAGATTGTCCCTGGAAATGTATCATGATCCCAGATTTCTATGTTTTGGAGACAGAAAAGTAAGGGGCTGTGCCACAACTGCCTGTGACCTCCTCTATTTTGCGCAGAGGTAAAATGTGCCAAACTCCTTTGCTCAGATTAAATTGGTTTGACCTGTGCGTGTCGGATCAGTTGGTCTCTGGCAAAATTAGCCGTCCAGAAATAAAACCCTCTTTTTAAAGAGTTTTGACTAATCTGAATCAAGTATTTTAAACACGCTCAGCATTTCTCCCACTTTTATTTAGCTTTTTACCCAAGATAAACCATCGATTGCCTCATTACACAAAGAGATTAACTATAACTCTTTCCAAGGCTCTACCGATGAGAAGTGAGATTAGGTGATTTAAAAGCTCCTTTTTGGATCAACTTGACAAATTGCACTCTGCAGCTACGTGCTTTTAAGACAGCATTTTGTTTGTTAGTTTTTTGCTCAGACAATTTCCAATCTACTTCACAAAAACATTCCCAGGGATTCCTGTCCCTTGACCTACATGGTTTTGTAAACAGTGCCAAAAAACCATTGGGAGCTTGGTCCAGTCTGAGGCTGGCATCCATGCTGGTAAAAGAGAAGAACTCTGAGCAGACCTGACCACTTTAACCACACAGATCTGAATACCATCAACAGACACAAAAGGGGTTGTCAGGAGATACAATAACAACCCTTTTCTTTCCATTTGAACGGTATAGTGATTGAAAATGCAACACCGGATAAAACTACTACAACTACCATTTCTTTTTTTTCAAAATCAAACAAATGCATGGACTTTCGAGTTTCCCTCAGCCCATGTGTAGCTTTGTAGAGTGTTGTGGTTCACTCTCACCGCACTTAACTGTAGTATTCAGAATAAAAACTACTCAAATTAGACAAGGGCCCG